TAACACATTGACATGTTCTGTGTGTAACAATAAATGACTGCAGTAACACATTGACATGTTCTATGACTGGATATTCATACATGTACATAAGTGATTCAAATTTTTTTTCAAAATGTTCTAATTTTCTTGAATCATTTTCAGACAAAGGGCCTAAGGGTTTCTGTTAAATTTACTGTTTTACACCCAAAATATAGCAAATAATTAGAAATGACATTAGTTGCCGTTTTGGACAAAATATCCTAAGCTACTGGTACTTTTTAGACAGTACAGTACAGCTCAAGCATAACTTAACTCCCCAGCTCCTCAACTTACTAGCTTTGCTTTCTTTTTATAACAACATACCGGTAGTTTAGATGTAGTTTATAAGTTATGTATAGTTTTTAAAGAGAAAATCAATGAAATCAATAATTTTAACTTTGTTTCTATCTTCATTCATCTAATATGTTTAGAAAATAAATTCAGATAAATACTCACCTGAATATGGTTTTAACAGGATATTAATTCTTGGGCAGTGATTTATATGGATTGGGGCAGAACGAAACTGAGTTTGGCCCTGTGTGTTTAGAGCCACACGGAACAACTCCCTTAGCAACAGGGGAAATCCCATCGTTTAGTTAAAATGATCTGAGCAATTCAAATCAAAACATATTTATGGCAAACTATATATTTTCTGAAAGCTGAAATAATTCATGTTTACATAAGATTGCTTACATAAGGGTCATGTGACTGGAGATTAACTGAACCCTGTCAAAATAACAAATCAAAAAGTTCTGCCTCGGCGATTTATCCATTTGATTGGGGGTTTTCAGAATAGTTTCGCTGTGAAAGGTTCTTATAAAGTGTCGATGAACGTTTGTGATTATTTTTCGAATAATTATCATAAATACTAATTATTTCTTTAAAAAAATAGGTCACTAATGAAGCTCAGGGATCATAAAACAAGAAAAAATTGCAGCAAAATTCTCTCCGTCGACATTTCTATTGTTTGATATCCTGACAACACTTGGTGTTAATTTCAAATCAATTGGGTATCAATATTTGAGAATCTGTTTTGTATCTAGATGGCAACACCTCCCAGAAATTGATGTCATCTGATGACCATCCCAATTCTATGGTTTTCTTTAACTTTACACAGTCAGGGTCATGTCAGACACAGTCTTAGAAGAGTTCAACCCAAAGAGTCAGACTTAGCTCAAGCTGAACACAACAATTTTTGTGGGCTTGAGCCGTTGGGCACCGATAAAATGCTGTCGTAGAAATAGAGTAAATATAATGTTAATTGTAAAGTCTTTATCAAAACCATCTGTTTGTACTAGCTTAAAAACTGACAGTGATCACATGATCTGATATATCTAATCATATTAATTTGATGAAATTAGTATGTCTGATTTTCGTAAAAATTAGACATACTAATTACACAATCAGATTATCTGAACAGATAATCTGATAAATCAGATCGGATAAACCATTTTTTTTTATACAGAGTCACTTTAGCACATTGAACATGTACAGTATTTCTCAAGAGGAATAAGTCATCACCACAGATACCAACATTTCTGACTGTGTACAACAATACATTCACTGTCATCACAATGTGGGGTGTATGCGACGCAGACAATAGAATCAATACCCACTATAGTTTCTATACACACCAAACCAAACACAATGTCATACAACTAATAGATGCAGTTTTCGATCACATTACTTTCATCTCTACAAGGTTTTACCAATCCATTATTTGTGTTATATTTAAGGTGAGAGCAGTTACTGCCAGTAGCTTAAAACAACAACTGATTTCTACATTCATTATTTATTTATTTTTGTTGTTGATATTTTGTCTTCTGCAGGAAATGTATCAATAAATAACTACTGGTATAACCACAATGTCTGAATATTGCGCAGTCGTCTGGCACTTTCTCGTAATTGCCGCTTTCTCTCATGAAGGGTGATAACAGCACCCAGTACTTTTTCACAGTTGTGTGCTTGAAAACTGAAACATTCTTCATATTTCTAGAGCCAGTCATGAACATGCAAGTAGTTGTGTAATTTGCGAAGCAAAGTGGCCACAGATTCATAAAACACCAATATAAAAAACTTCTCTTTCAAACCAAATAATTATTGTAACGCTGTCCAATACATGTTTAAATTTATATCTTATCTGTCTATTTTAAAAAGTAGGGCACCGGCATTTCACGGACACTTTAATGTTGTATCATAATAAATCAACTGACATTTGTTAAATATTATCCCTGACTTTCAGTGAATATGAAAGTTATTTTCACTTGGTGACTGATGTTTATACTTTGTGACAAAATCCGATAAACACCTCATTTTCATAGTTTACTGATGTGTATGTTGGGTTTTTTAAATTGAATTCATCATTCAGCGCTAGAAGCCAATAAGTGATGACATGTAAAAAAACTGTTTTTGTTTCAATTCTTTTTTTTTCACAAAATAAATAATTAAGCATTCATATGCACATGAATTATTTATGAAAGAATGCAAAATTTGATTGAATTTCATTGAGAAATGTTACATTAAGAAATGTTAAGAAATTATGTGAACAGATGGTTGGTTGGTAAAGTTTGGAACTTATTCACTATTTGTGTTTTTTGTGTTTGCTAAAGCTTTGTGATGGCTGGCAACCAAAATATATTTTACAGAGCTGACTGCATTTAGGCCACTAACCCAACCTACCTATATCTTTGGGGAAATCAAAAGTTTATTTTTTTCAAAAATGAGCTCAAAATTATTTATTTCTATGCAAATTAATTTAACTGTGGTCATTCCATCAATATACTTCATTTATTTATTTTTGAGTAGTGATGATGACCACTTACTTGAAAATATTCCAAACGTAAATTAGAAATTATTTTTTGCATCTGTAGTTGAACATTGATTTAGTTCTAGCATGGAGGTAAAAAGAGAAGGAGTCACAGCCAAAATAATCCTTCTAAACTTCTTTTGTTTTAGACAAGTTTAATCCTATAATTCCCTTTGTCTTATCGTCCTTTCACCCCAGGATCGTCGCCGACGCGTCATTTACTCTCAAGCGTTGCTGTGCACAGTACATATTCCGAGGTCTTGTTTTACGGTGTCGCAGTAAATGTCAAAGGACATACATGTAAAGCATGCGCAGATCTTTTATACGTAGAGGAAACGTGTTTGTGAGAACGGGAAAGTTGGAATTTTGAAAATCAGAGAATTTCTTGTTAAGTTTATGTAATTTTTCGTTTTTCAGCACATTTTCCGTTGTAGTTTTGAATCAGCAATATTGTAATGTTTCGAATCCTTGCTAGTACTGTTTTTTAGTCCACAATAAAGCTCGTTTAATGATCTTTGCAATGGTGCATGGCATGGACCGCACTGCGTTGTACCAGTGACTGAATTTTGAGGTTCGAAATGACGCTTTTTGAAGATTATATCCCTTGTACCGTAAAATCTGTATTAGAAGCCACATCCCTAATAGAAGTCGCACCCATTCTTTTTGAATGTTTGAGAACCAAAAATTCATCATTTCTCATATGTGTAGATGCTCTAATAGAAGCCGCATCCCCTCTGTTGCATTGTACCATTTTAATAGAAGCCGCGGTTTCTAATACAGATTTTACAGTATGTCCTACTTCTCTTTTTACCTCCATGGTTCTAGCAATAACAGGTGTTGCAAAAAAAAATTAAAAGACAGGAAACACCAAATTTATTTTCATTTCATTTTTTTCTGATTCAAGTGATTTATGTGACATTTGGCTGTAATGAAGAACACAAGAGACCTGAGAGGCCACTGAGATTGTGTTGAGAGTGAGTAGGTCATGTGACCTATTTTTGCCAATCAAATAGTGTTATTTTCTGTGGATACAATGATAGAAGGGAATAAAACACTATTTTAAAAGACTAAACAAGTATTGTGGTTCTCTCTCTCACCAAATATCACCTACAATATCACATTTATTAGTCTGACCAGTTTTTATTTGTTTACTACTTTTAAAATAACGATAGTATTATTATTTTGGACTGAAATTGTAAATGACATAATAATAGTTTGTTGCAACAGTTGGCTGTCACTGTTATTGACCTGAATTCATTACTAGATCACAGCATAAATAATAATAATAATAAATACAAGTTTATATAGCGCTTAGTATCCATTGCAGTGATGCTCAATGATGCTTAGTTTCACAGATAGGCTTACTGAAACAGGTAAGATTTGAGTTTGGTTTTGAAGATGTTAACATTTGGTGCAGAACAGATGTCATTTGGTAATTGATTCAATGATTTCATAAAGATGGCGAGGAATGGGCGAATGACCATAAAAAGATGCAATTATTTTAATTGAAGAGTTACTGAGAGAATAAAGAATGACACACTGTTCAATATTGTGTGATAACAGGACAGGGAAGTGTGTAATAATGAACAAGACATGGTTGAGCCAATTATTCAAACAAACATCTCCATCAAAAATGAGCTACGTGGAGTCTTTTATTTCAATTATAGAAATATACATGAATGAACAATGTGATAATGGTAAGCTTGTTGTCAACGCTTGTATTTTGGTTTTGTGTATATAGCGATATGAGAAAACAACATGCGAAAACACACTTGTAAGTTATTTTCTAAATGAAAAATTGTTTAAAGTGAAAGAATCATGGAGACTTTGCTGTTTAGATGATTTATACAAATTTGAGGAAACATTGCGTGGACATGAGGTCACACACATTCATGTTTGTATGTTCATGTTTTTACTGACCAGATATCATCTGATAACAGGACTGCCTGTTGTACAGATCAGTCAATGAGAACGCGGCATTTCAATATTTGGTAGCACCTGGTATTAGAATATATTGTTTTATGTACATCAACTTAGTTTTAATTTTTATTAATTTGGTTCATCTCTTCTTAACAAATGTTATTCCATTGCAACATCTTTGGTTAGTATTTTGATGAAATTATTTTATCAATTACATTGTATAATTGTTTCCTTGATAACGCCATACAAATGTAGGTTTTACTTTTTAACTGAGTGTTTTTACAAACAACACGCTTGATAGGGCAGCATTTTGCAAAACATTATGATACAATGATGGTACAAATGACTGCAATCATTCATATTCTCTCAAACTGTTTTGTTACAACATGTATCAAATCATAGACTCTGTGTAGGTGCTGCATTATAAAAGTGTTTATGGTACAACAATAAAACAGTCATTTGATGAACTATTGGAAGATGGCAAATGCCATACATACAGACTGGTATGGATAACATGATATACAAAATTAAATTATACATACTTCAATCGTAAGATCACATCCTTCTCTCCCGACAGTCGTTACGTTGGGCACATTAAGCGGGAATATAACTTCACCGCCCCGTAGGTATCCCTTCATAGTCGATAAACCTCGTCTTGTGGTCTTAGAATGATGATCTGTCACAGCGAATACGAGTTGGCGGTGCCACACTTGTTTTCTGTAGCTTTCCGATTTCAGAACACTTCTAGGGAAAACAAACCTCAATATGCTTCAAAAATGGTCTTTCATGTACCTTGGCCTCGAGTTAGTCGGTCGGAGATGGTTATGCCTCTGTTTACCGGCTCAATTTTCCCCCAACCGCAATAAAACTGTAACTGTCCCAGTGATAATTTCCAAAACACTGCCGCTAAGAAGTATGCGCATGTGCAGTATTTCCTAGCGACAAAACAGATTATATTCTTAGCAACGAGTCTCTGTAAACATACCGACTCCCTGAAGAAAAAAACACGGCTACGTGGAATACAAATAGTTAAATTAACGGAAATTAGTACTTCTATTTTAATAAGAACTATTTATAGGAGACTAATTCCCGAATGCTACGTACATTTTAGTTTTGCAAGGTTCGATTTCATGACGTCACGGGGTAGCTCAGTGGAGCATTGATACAACAAACACATGGTTTCGGAATAAAGGTCAAACTACGACCACCACAAGGCTGAGAAAAGCAAATCGCATTTTAGAAATTTAATCATTGAACATTTGACTTAGTACAATAATGTCAGCTTTAGTAATTTTAGCTGAAGGAGCAGAGGAGATGGAAGTCGTGATTACAGTAGATGTACTTAGGCGAGGCGGTGTAAGTTCTTTTCTGACTGTATCCTCTAGATATCCAACTACTAAAATTCCCGATGAAATGATGACTCCAGCAATAGAGATATAAAACTCCATGCTCCAACTGTCATATGAGCAGAACTTGGGTCTCCTGTGACCTTGGTACATAAACAAGAATAGCGAATAAGATTAGCAAAACAGTAGCTTGTATTGGTGCGAATCGACCACGCCCACTTACTTTATTATACCCACGTTCAATTTTCGTATTACCTATATCATTGCAATTTTAAATACTTTCATGTGTACTATGCAGATGCCTTAAGTGTTTGTGCGTTACGTCACGTGATTGCCATGCATTATCGGACGATAATATGCAGCACGTCAACTTTCACCGGGGGTATCTCAGGATAAGAGACATTTTACCAATTACATTACAATACTACATGTATTTTTGACAACCCCCCTCTTTAATTTTTGTGGTAATAATAATAATAATAATAATAATAATAATAATAATAATAATAATAATAATAATAATAACAATAATAATAATATTTAGTATATTAGGTGGACCATTTAATTAGCAGGTATATATTAAAGGTAATATCACTGAAAAGATGTATGTAGTTTATAGATAACTGTATTGTGTAAATTTCATTTGTATAGATAAATGTCACAGTGGCTGGTTTAACTGGTGACCAGACTGTAAACTGCAGTAGAAATGTTGTCATAAAACCAGATAGCAGTCTGGATGATGCTATGAAGCAGGTAAATGTTTTAATCCATGTACAAAGTCATAATGAGAGATATGCACATTGACCAGTTTTTTTGTTTATTCACCATCTTAGGTCCTATTAAAACTCCAAAAATCAACATTTGAACAAAGGCTTGCGTGTGTGTATCTTAGACAATCACAATCAAACTTCACACATACATCATACGTAATATTATACATAAACACATCAATTTGTTTCACGATCTGATTCAAGATGGTCGAATGGTAGCCATTTTTGTGCTAAAAAATCATCAAAATCAAGCTTTTATGGATGGATTTTGTTTACACTTGGTACATACGTTGGACCTGACTGGCGGCCATTTTGTTATAATGAATGCAGTTCTAGTGCCATATCTCTGCCATGCTTTGACTGATTATGTTCAAATTTTATGTATTTATTATACATCATGACATAGATATATTGGTTTGACTATCTGATTCAAAATGGCCAAATGGCAGCCATTTTTGTGCTAACAAATCATCAAAAATAAAGCATTTTTGGCATTACAGAACTGAATCTTGGCGTTTATGAATAAATTTTGTTCAAACTTGGTACTTACATTCCTGATGCACGTCATTTTATTTTTCAGATCAGAGTGTCATTGTTTACAAGCAAGCGTCTCACACGAGCCTTTGCGTTTTTAGTGTGTGTTGTTATCGTGACCCTCCCACTTTAAATTTGATAACTAACAGGGACTGTGCCATGCATGGCTTGTTTTTGTTAAATTTGAAAACATTTTTTGTTGATTACAATAACTCAAACATTTTTTTTCCAATCTTTTTCAAACTTGGATAAATAGTTTGTGATTTGGATTTTATCTAAATTTGATTTATATGTATTCAATGTTTAAGATATTAAGATTTGAATTAAAGTTATATTCAAGTTATGTTAGTAGCCATATTGGTTTTATTTTCATGTATCCTTATAATCTTTTGTGGAATAAAGTTGTAATTCCCAAACATAATGTACTTTTTTCATTGTTAATAGCTGACCAAGTCAGTAAAAACATTGACAATAACTTGATTTTCCTAGAAACATTGAATATTGATTTTATTTAATGTTACATAAAACAATGCATCATATACAATTACGCTACTTGCAAAATCACAAAATAAAATAAATTGAATCATAATCTGTGTCAATAAGTAATAATAATGGAGTAGATACTTGACATTTTGTACTCCTACATCACTAATCCATTTTATGTTGGTTTTCTTAAGTATATCACCATGGATACAACATATATGGCCATCTGATTTTGAGTCTTGTGATATGAACAATCATATTTTGCTTCTTAAAGCACACCCAGCAAAAGACCATAATGTGTCGTTGTTTACAAACAAGCTTCTACCCATGAGTCTTTGCATATTTGGCATGCACTGTTATCGTCGCTTGGGACATGAGCAGATGATGACCTCTCCACTTTAATATAACCTTGCGAGAGTTCCAAATTGTCTTGAGCTAGATAGAAACTTTCCTTGCTTTGTGAATTATGTTGTTAAAAAACCCACCACAACCACCTTGTTTTCTGACATTGGCATCTAAATAGTTAAATTAGTTCACTTAACTTGTGGCTGTCTTTGACTATTGTGGTTTTGTTGTTTACTTTCAACATTTCTATTTTCTTGGTATTAATGTTGAGTGCAGTCTGTGCTGCATACTCATTTTAATAGATACTTGAAATGGAATCATATACAAAATAGTAAAATGTATGACAGAGAACACTAATATACAAAGCCTGCATTAGTTACATTCACCATTTATTCTAAGCAACAAAATGAAAAAAAAAATTCAAATTCCAATGATATGAAAAACAGAATTTTATGTTCAATATCATGTACTTTTTATTCAACAGGGCCAATATGATGCTGTGGTTCTCCCTGGAGGGGCTAAAGGTGCTCAGAATCTATCCCAAGTAAGTGTACACTGGCTGATTACAAGTAATAATTTTGAGTTCAGACCAAATGTGTGAAGTGAATTTTATCAATCAAATCGCTTTAATGATTTTTAATAACATTTACCCCATGTTTCATTCAGATCAGTAGAGGAATTTTTATTGACTAGAGAAGACCTTTGGTAATGCTCATTATCAATTTTCCTCATAGATCCCACAAAATATATTTGGTTTCTGTCCATCCAACCGTCCGTCAGTTAGTATGCCCAGAGCCAATTCACAGACATGCTTTGACCAATCACATTCAAATACACAGACAATGTATGATGACTTACATATGCTCATCAATTTTCATTACCATTTGATGGCTGACTGGCAGCCATTTTGGTCCTCAAAATTGCAAAAATCTGATACTTAATCCTGTCGAGGCTCTCCTGTCTGGGAATACTCCTCAGAGATGAACAGGGCAATTTTCATCAAATTTTGTATCATGATCATGCATATTGAGTTACAGACACATGGCATATTTTTTTGAGATTCATACAAAAATGACCAACTGGCGGCTATTTTGTTTTTATTCATGTCCATGCCGTTTCCTCACTGATATATTTCCTGATTAAGTATAAAGTGTGCATACAAGTATTATACTCTTAGCTACTGGGTAATACAGTAAATTATGTTATTTTGTGATTCAATCAAATTTGTCAAACTGATGGCCAATTTGTTTACAATCCTGAAATTGCAGTTTGTAAATGTGTGATTACAGATGCATGTCATTTTAACAACTGTTCCTCTTAGAGGGCTAGCTTGATTTTGTTCAAACTCAGTACAATGATTCTACATACTGGATTTTGGTTCACATTTTTTAGTGATTCAACCAAATATGCTTGACATTTAGCCATAATGTACACGCATACTACTGGATTGCTACTGGTGATGATATTTGGCATTAAATACAGAACATGGACTGAGCAATGTCAACACTTGTTTAACACCTATAACACATCATACAATGTATATTTAGTTGTTACCAGTATTCAGAATTTAAAATTTTAAAATTTGTTTTTTTCTAGTCTGCCAAAGTGAAAGAAGTGCTATTGTCACACTATTCAAGTGGTAAAGTTGTGGCAGCTATCTGTGCAGGTTAAGGTTCTTGATGGTTTTATTTAGTGTTGTGTACCCATTACCCCTACTTCATAATAAAATATTTGTTTTATGACTAATATTTCATTACTGTGAATAAAAACGTAATAAAATAGCAATATTGATAGTTCAAATGGAACAGTTTTCTATTAAGTTAATCTCAATATTACTACTGCTGGTTAGGTTACTTCCACAGTAATAACTATTTGTAGTACCATTAAACTTTAGTTTTCAAATAGAGATTAGGGATTTGGTAATATTAGAGTTAAACCAGTTTTGTCCGATGTCAGATCTTAAATCAATCAACTTTTCTGATGTTGAATTTTACATCTAGTTTTTTTGATCACTTTGAGTTATTTGAGGCAAACTGGCAGAATATAATATGTTGGTTATAAGTAATGTCAGTCTCTATTAACAATTTACAGTGTGTGGACATCAGTTTATGAGTAAATCAATAACAAAGACTGAATAATACTTGTAATAATGTGTGTATTGTTCTGAGTTGAATATGACATTTGTTTCTATTTATAGGACCCACTGCTCTATTAAGTCATGACATTGGTAAAGGAAAGTCATTGACATCACATCCATCAATGAAATCCAAACTAGAAGGTATGTCTACTCAACAAGGATCTAGATGCTTTCTATTGATATTTCCTATTCAGGTCATGGACAATTAAATTGTTATTTTATTTGAGGGATCTATGTTTATTGTTGGAAATACACACAGATGTAATTGTGTTAAAGGGCGGTAGTCGTTGCGCCACGCATGCTCGAGATATATGGGTCTCATATAAACAAAGATGACGACTTTGACTGTTGCGCAGATCAACGAGTACAAACTGAGATATTACCAAGCTTTAATTAAGTATTTTTAGGTGATTGGAAGGTATAGGAGTACCGGCGGTAATTAGTGCAAGTTGCGCCCAGGTCAAACCTCATACTTTTGATTTCCATTAGAAGAGCGCATTGGATTGTGGGAAAATCAATGTTTATCAACATGTCACACATGCACATTGCGACGACCACCACCCTTTAAATATACAGAAGCAGTGGAATCCAAAACTCTTCTTCTTCTGTATTGCATTACAGCATGACATAGTGGTTTCTCATTTATTTCTGAGGAATAACACAATTCATGCATGCTAGTCACTGAGTTTTTGAACTACAGTTTGACATGTGACTATTCTCTCGTCTTTCTCACGTACGTGAGTTGGGCCGGAAATAAGCCATTGTCACATGGACGTGAGATTGGGACACAAAACTGTATAAGAACGCACTAAAAACAATCATTTTCATGCACGTTCTCACACATTTCTCTTTTTACGTGAGAACACACTGAAAAACAATCATTCTAAAATCATTCTCATGCACGTGAGATTGGGACGCAAAACCCTATAAGGGTCATGCACGTTCTGACGCATTTCTCTTTTTCACATGAGAACATACTAAAAACAAAACAATCATTCTCACGCACGCAAAACCCTATAAGAATTCTCACGCATTTTCTATGTACGTAAGAACCCACTAATAACAATCATTCTCACGGACATGAGATTGGGATGCAAAACCCTATAAGGGTCACGCATGTTCTCATGCATTTTTTTTTTCACGTGAGTACACACTAAAAACAATCATTCTCATGCACGTGATGACGCATTTCTCTTTTTTACGTGAGAACATACTAAAAAACAAAACAATCATTCTCACGCACGTAAAACCCTATAAGGATTCTCATGCATTTTCAATGTATGTGAAAAAGCACTAAAAACAATCATTCTCACGCACGTGAGATTGGGACACAAAACCGTATAAGGGTTCTCACGCATTTTTCTTTTTCATGTGAGAACACACTAAAAACATTCATTCTCACGCACGATAACGCATTTATCTTTGTCACCCTTGAAGTGTACTGTGTTACGTCAGAACACACGTAAAAATACCCATTCTCACGCGCACACATGAGAATTACGTGAGCATGGTCATTTTTTGGCATTTTAAATACCTGGTAGGACAGGTGTAGAGTTCTATATAGAACAGTAATAAAATACAATACATTTGATACATGATTCCTATCTATTATAAATTTATGTGTTTTTACGTCACATTCATATGAACAGGGATGAACATGTTTTAAAATATGTTCTGTATTGAATAATTACTTGGAATTATAAATGTTACTAGGTCCTTTGCATACTAACAGATGTTACACGAGAAAGCTCTTCAAATGCATATAGAGAGATTGTTGCTTGATTCTGACCACATTTTTAGTCCCCGTTCGAACGCAGTCCGAAAACAGGGACTTATGTTTTGACCTCCGTGTGTCCGTGTGTGCGTGCTTGTATGCGTCTGTGCATGCGTCCGGACCTATATCTTAGAAATGCCTGGACCAATCACAATCAAACTTCACACATACATCGTACATGATATCATACATATGCACGTCAATTTGTTTCATGATCTGATTCAAGATGGCTGAATGGCGGCCATTTTTGTGCTAAAAATAATCAAAATCGAGCATTTCCCGGTTGTTTACAGATGGATTTTGTTCAAACCTTGTATATACGTTGGACATTATAGGACCTTGATGCACATCATTTTGTTTTACGATCTGATTCAAGATGGCCGAATGGTGGCCATTTTGTGCTAAAAATCATAAAAAGCAACCATTTCTCGGCTGTTTACAGATCGATTTTGCTCAAACTTGGTATATACATTAGACATTATGGGACCTTGATGCAAATAATTTTGTTTTTCAGATAACATTCAAAATGGCCATTTTGTATTAATCAATGTGGTTCTCGTGCCATATCTCCAATATATTGTTTTGACTGATTATGTTCAAATTTTAAATATTCATTATACATCATGTCATAGATATATTAGTTTGACGATCCTATTCAAAATGGCCGAATGGTTGTCATTTTTGTACTAAAAAATCATCAAATATCAAGCATTTCTGGCATTTATGGATGGATTTCGTTCAAACTTATAACACACGTTAGACATTACAGGTTCCTGATGCATGTCATTTTATTTTCAGATTGGATTCAAAATAGCTGACTGGCGGCCATTTTGTTTTAATGATTGGGCTTCTAGAGCCATAACTCTTAAATACTTTGACTGATTATATTCAAATTTTATATATTCGTTATACATCATGTTATATATATATATATATATATATATATATATATATATATATACATGTATTCAAAATGGCTGATTTTGAATGCTGTTCCAGAGCAATATCTCTCAATATGGACAAGTACTTGTTTGAGGATCAGATACAAATGTCAATCATTTTAATGTTAAAAAAATCATATTCCTGACATGGTTATATTCCAGCTATATTACTATAAACATAACTATATATCTCAAATTTGATAACTAACGGGGACTGTGCCATGCATGGCTTGTCTAATCTTATCTTGTGCTGTTGGTTTGACAGATTCATACCATTACAGCGAAGACAGAGTGGTTGTAGATGGCAATCTTGTTAGCAGTCGTGGTCCTGGTACAGCTTTTGAATTTGCTCTGACTCTAGTAGAAATCTTGAAAGGAAAAGACGCCAAAGATTCACTTATTCCACCAATGCTGCTTAAACTGTGAACGATGCTGATATTTATAGAGTTTCATTACCATATGCTCTGTAAACTCTGTTTTCTTTTATGATACTGCTTAATAAGCAGTTCTTAGCTATGCACTAGCCATATGGACTACTTAGCCAGGTGCTTGTTTTGTGGGCTGTTTATCCATTGAAAATATTTCGTTTGAGAGCTGAATCTCATGCATGCATGGACTGATTTCATTCAAACTGTGTACATACATGGAACATAATGGGACTGTGATGCATATTACTTTGTATTGTAATTCGGATTCAAAATGGTCGACTTGGTGCATACATAATGGTACCTTGGTGTGTGTCATTTTATTTTTTAATTTCTGCCATTCTGAATAAGGTTCAAATCAACCTGTACACACAAGTTATAAAGTCAGTAAAGATCCATTTCAAAATGACTGACTTGTTTGTTGCATTATTGGTTATTATTAATGTATACTGCACTCAGTATAAATGAATTAGAGAGTGGGAAAGTTGTTTGAAAAAATTAAAAAAAAAATATAAAAGACAGAAAAGTAATCTGCAATGTTTGGATAGTTGTTTTGTAAGGCAGGAAAGTTATTTCAAAACTTATAAAAATAATAAATTGAGACTGGGAAGTCATCTACAGAATTTGGAAAGCTGCTTTGAAGTGGGGAATATTTTACAAAATAAATTCAGAAGAAGGGAAAGTACAACAAGGCTGTGAAAGTCATTTTTCAAAGCCAGGAAATTTAAAAAATAAACTTAGAAGATGGGAAAAGGCGTCTAAGTTGGGAAAGTTGTGATAGAAAAAGGAAAGTCGTCTAGAAAATTAAAAAATATATTGAGAAGGCAGTTGCATTAGAAAGTGAAAAAGTTGTTTGAAAAAAAAAAAATTGAGAAGAAGGAAATATCCGATATATAAGACAGGAATGCTATTTTGGAGTTTAGAAAAATAAATTGAGGAGTCAGAAAAGTCGTCTGTAAAGATGAGTGTGGCTATGGAAGGTGTGAACGCATTTGAAATATAAATTGAAAAGGTTGAAAGGTCCATCGGATGAAGGGAAATTGATTTGAAATTGTCAAAAAATTAAATGAGTAGATGGAAAGATTTTATTTTAAAGTTTGGTAAATTAATTGAAAAGATGAAAACCAAAAATTGGCTTGTGATGCGTGAG